CTAGTGCTTCATAATTCTATTTACAGCTATCTAGGTAGAAGTTCTGAACATTTATTATGCACAGAGCTCTTTTCTAATGAGCACTTTACATGACATAATTTACTTAACTATTAATGATACGTATATGTCAATGTAACCTGGATAGAAGTAGAAATAATGCAGGATATTTAAAAAATTGGGTATATAGCATAAAACTTTATAAGTTCTAACTAAAACACTGGGGTCAAAGAATATTGTTAATATTAAAAACTAATGTATCACTTTTATTTACAGGTAATATGCTTTAGCTAACTGAGAAACACTTCTAGATTATTCCACAAATGCTCAGGTTGTTTTGAGAGAAGAATGTCAGAGTGGAGTGAAAAACTCTTGATGTATTAAAACAAGTTGTACAAGCACTGATGTCCTTCCTCACACTATAAAATACCTGGCCATTAATATATGAAGAGGTTAAAAGCATACAAAAAAGCAAGACTATGATGTTATAGATTCCTGGTGTTGCGCTGTACTGTGAACTGTGTAGCACTGAACTTTGAATCACAAGGTCGGCAGTTCAAACCCACCAACTGCTCCTTGGACAACCTATACAGGGTCATTATGAATTGGAATTGACTCAACAACACTTAGCAACAACAACAACAACGATATGCTTTTCACCTAGTTTAGAAGAGATAGCAAAGAGGAAAAGCACGACGATGTGAGATTTGAGAGAGGCAAGGGAGAAAGAGGACTAAAATATACAATAAAAATCTAATTGCCTACATTTGTTTAGGTAATACACATTTAAAAAAAAAAAATCAAACAACAAATAAACAATTATCTTACCTAAAGACTCCTTGTTTAAAAAGATATGCACTAATATGACCCCCTTCTAGATATCGGACTTCGCAACCAGGCCAAATTTCTTGTAGACTTCGAACTCCTGTTCGTGGAATATAGGCATCTTCTTTGGCTTGAACCACTATAATTAGGCTTGGGTCAACTGGAACTAGGTAAAGGATTTTTAAAAAGGCAACAAATATACTTTTAAGAGCTCTAAGATTTATATATATACTATTATCATAAAATAAAACACAGTATAATGAAACATTTGTAAGCCTACATTTTTTTTTTTTTATGATTTACGTTATACAATCAATTGCATTGGTTTTCTAAGTACCACTGAATTGGTTCTGACTCATAGCAACCTTATTATAGGGCTTCTTAGGAGTGGCTGGTGGGTTTGAACCGCTGACCTTAAAGTCAGCAGTCCAGTGCTTATCCTACATTGTCACACCAGGACTCCAAAATCAATTGTGGTATGCCATAATGTTCATCTTGCAGAGAATTAGATGAATATTCTAAATAAAATACAAAATCCAATGTATTTGTTTAATGTGCTTCTTATTAAATTAATATGATTTATCTTAGGATCTTCATGGATAAATTGTGATACAGTTAAATAGCCACATTATCTTGGGGAATACTTTTTTTTTTTTTTTAAGTGCTGTCGAGTCAGTTCCAACTCACAACGACCCTGTACAAGGTTTCCAAGAAGCAGCTTGTGTATTTGAACTGCTGACCTTGCAGTTAGCAGTTCAGTGGTTAGCCTTTAGCAACATACCATAAGCCCTATAGATTCCTTTACAGTATGAAATTATCTTTTAAACCATCCTTTAAAATATTTTTCAAATATTTCCATATCAGAAAATATCCCCAAATTCATATAAAATTAGTACCTGAGAAATTTGCTACATGAGTACATTCATCCATGACTCCTTTCATAAATATTAAAGATTCTTTTTGGAGATTATTTCGTCTTTGTTCTTTACTGAGTAGGTGGTATGACTGATTAATATAACCCCCATATTCACTTTTGTTGGTTGAAAGTGGTTGACTGAAGCATTCCATCTTAGAGGTTTTTTGCAACAAGAGTCCTGATGTGGTATTGATAGATGTTTTATTAGAATTATGACACTCAGCAGATTTTGGGGATACAACTTGGTCTGCTGAATCTAACTTTAAAGTTCTGGAAACCAGATCAAGGTTAGTTAACTTGTCTTCACTGCTAGGAAAATTTTTCACAAACTCTTGTCCCATTTTGAAAGAATCCATCTGAATAAATGAAAACAGCAAAAAAGAAAACACGATTTACTATAAAAATAAAGTAATAGAATAGGCTTTAGTGATCTACTT